ATTAAGTTCAGTGATGAAAGTTATCAGAAGACTATTCTACGGAAAAGTATTTTTTCTTAGCAAAAACAAAGAAAGGAAAATTAAAACCCTCTCAGCAAAGCCACAGATGCTGTGGGTGTCCATCTGGAGGTGGACGGTTCCTTGCTGGCAGCACTGCTGCTTGGCACCCATCTCCTGGCCTTGTCCCGCAGGCCGGCCAGTGGCTACCGCCTGCCAACAATTTGGACTTCCCTTGAGATGGCAGTGGGTTGCGTTTCTTCTGGGATGTGATTATTCCAGGTGGCCTCGGCTTGGCCTTCCGCTCCCTGTGGGCAGAGCCAAGGAGGGTCCTTGCTCCCCCAGGCAGTCATGTCCTGAGACCTTTGTCCCCAGCAGGGCTTCTCTTTCTCCACCGCCGCTGTAATTCCAGGCAGCAGGATGGAGAACAAACATGGAACTGATGGTTTTTTTTTTTTTTTTTTTTGGTCTTTTTGAGACAGGGTCTCTATGCAGTTTGGGCAGGCCTTGAGCTCACTTTGTAGCCCAGGCTGGTCTTGAACTCGCAATGATCCTCCTGCCTCAGCCTCCCGAGTGCTATGCGTGAGCCACCATATCCAACTTGGAACTGGCGTTTGCCGAACCATTTTTCTTTACTTTTTCTAGAGCTCCGTTGTACCAGAAGCTTTTCAGTGTGTGATATCTGGGCCTGGTGGAACGGGGCCTCACAGAGGGCAAAGGACTGAGGCAGAGGTTTCATTCCATGGGGAACCCTTGAGGGGCAGAAGGGGGCTCCTGAGGGCGGGCTGGGGGGTGGGAAGAGTTGGCTTTCCACACATTATTTATGTTATATATTTATGAGTAATAAAATAAGCTGATCCACCTGGGAGGTGCTTCCCAATCCTGCCAGTGACCCTGTTCCTGGTTACTCTGTTCCTCTCAGTGACAAGGACTATCCGTTTCTCAGATGCCTTTGCAAATTATTTGACTTTTTTTTTTTTTTTTTTTTTAGCACTGTAACATCCTGTGGCACTGTTGAATCTTGCTTTTCTCACCCGAGAATTTATCCCCAACAGTACATGTACTTTTGTTTTTGAGACAAAGTCTTGCTGTATAAGCCAGGCTGGCCTCAAACACAGCCACCCTCCTGCCTCAGGCTCCTGAGTGCTTGGGGATTACAGGCGTGGGCCACCATGCCAGGCTTTCTCAGATTGTGCTTTTTTGCACTTTTAAATGATGTCATAATATTTTATAATATGATATGCTATCATTTTTTTGCCTAGGTGAATAATTTTTTGAATAATTAGGTGATTCCAAATTGTTAGCCATTTAAAAAGTGGTGCAATAAATCCTTGAATGCATATCTTTTTGCATTTGTACAAGTTAATCTATAACCTAAATCCCTAAAAAGTAGAATTTCCAGATCAAAGAGAATGTACAATATTAACACTGATAAATGTTAAATCCTTTCCACAATCTCATCAGCATGGGGCTGAGGGGCTGTCATCTCATGTAACCACATAATGGAGACATCACGTTTAAATTTGGGGCAGAGATTAAATGTTTTTCTTTCTTTTCGATTTTTTTTTAGGTTTTTGAGGTTGGCTTTGAACTCACTTTGTAGCCCAGGATGGTCTGGGGCTACTTACAGTGATCCTCCTGCCTCAGCCTCCCGAGTGCTAGGATTACAGGTATGCGCCACCGTGAGTGGCAAAGGGATTAAATTTTCTTCTTTTTCTTTTATTTTTTGAAAATAATTGAGGGGCTGGGGATTTAGCTCAGCGGCATAAGCACCTGCCTTGCAAGCAGGCGGTCCTGAGTTCGATCCCCGGTACCCATAAAAAAAATAGTTGAACAACTAAAACCCTAAGATGCTTGGAGGTAGGCACTTTATCACTCAGTTTATATCTAAAAATAGTCACATTCTTTCTCTTTACACGGAAGAGAGATTCTGCATTTTGACGAGGGCGCTGAGCGCGCCTGTGGACAGCAGAGGGCAGCACGTCTCCACAGAGAGCCGGCAGGGACTCCTGCGGATCCATCACGCGGGAGCAGGGCCTCGCAGTCCAAGGGCAAACGTGCTTCATCCTCATTGCCACCTCGTAGCTAGGCCAGGCTGGAAGGAAGCCACAGCCTGGATGGACCGACGTGTTCACTGCTAGTCAAATGCAGAAATACCATCGTCCTGTGCGAGGCACTTGAAAGGCGATTCCAGCCACCTTTTATGTTTTGTTTTATTTTGCAGTACCGAGGATTGAACCCACAGCCTTCAGGGTAGCTACACTACCAGCACCCCTGCCCCTTTGTGAGCTGGAGTTTTGGGAACTGACCAGGTTGGCTCCAATTTGCAGTCCTCCTGCCTCAGCCTCAGTGTAGCTATGATTACCAGTATGCACCACTACCCCGAGACCCCTGCAACCACACTTTAGGTCATAAAGCACACAAGGAATATCCTTTATTGGATCCATATTATATTTCCTGTCCATTTTGCTGAAAACTGCTAAAATGTCAACAAATGCAACCCATTATCTCCTGTTTCTCCAGTCAGTTTATTATTTCATCTGGAAGAAAACTAGGTGCTCTTTTAGGATCAGTCCAGTCAACCAAAAGTACAGAGTGTGAGGTGCAGAGGCCGTGGGGTGGACAGGACATGGTCTCTGTTGTCACTGACAAACCAGGAAAGATTGGAACCTGCATTGCGACATGTTGGCTGTAAGTGTAAGCATGGCACTGTGTACAGCCTTGTGGCCTGGGGTACCTTGGTTCCCTGTGTCTCCGTCACAAATGAAATGATACCACAGCCATCAGCCCTGTGAACCTTACAATTGAAGTGCCACCTGGAAGGTGCCTCAAATAAGGAAAGATTTCAGAAGCCACGCTCTGAAATGCAGATGTGCCAGGCTCTCTGCTAATGCACACATGAACTCAAGATCATCACCTTAGCTGGGTATGGTGGTGCAGGCCTATAATCCCAGTACTCTGGGAGGCTGAGGCAGGAGGACTGTAAATCTGAACCCAGCCTGGGCCTTTGCAAGATGCTGTCTCTAAAGGGCCTTAGTGTGAGGGCCGTAAGTTCAACCCCTAGTACCTAAGGTGAAAAAAGATGGGAAAAAAAAAGAGAAAAACTTGTAACTGGTAAGATTCTCATTTAGTCTAGTAGCATGAGCTGTTATTGGCTGAGAGCAAGCAATTGCACCATGGAAAATCAGAGAAAAAAGGAAAAATAGGAAGAAAGAATAATGCTGATAAAAAAAAAAAGAACCTGGGTGCAGTGGCACACACCTGTAATCTTAGCACTCTGGAGGCTGAGGCAGGAGAGTTTGAGTCCAGCCAGGGCTCCAGGGCAAGTCTGAGGACAGCCTAGACTACATAGCAAGACCTTGTTTCAGAAAATCCAAACTCCCCCCACCTCGGAGAATGAAACCCAGAGGACAATTTTCAAGCAGCTTTCTTAAGTTTCTAGCTGTGCAGGAAATAAGAGGATTCTTCTCCTGTGCTGGCCTCCTGTACGGCATTCACTGGAAGATGCCCAGGGGCAGGGGAGGGAGCCGCAGTCTAGGAGTTCCACAGCCTCTGGCTGGAGAGGAAATTGCTCACAAAGCATATACCCCAAGCACCTCACTAATTCTGGGATTGTTTGCAGCCTAATATTTCTCTTGTGAATCACACAGCTGCAAACCAGGTGGGCACCTCCGGCTCCTGGTCCCTTCCGTGGAGGAGCAATTATCGAGTGACAGCTACCATTGTGACACACACTATTATAACACACACAGTCACATATAGAATAACATTAATATTGCCTTAATGAAGATGTCACCTCCATTTTACAGATGAACAAACTGAGGTTTTCTGCCTCGAATAAAAGCACAGCAGCACTGGGAAGGCTGAGGTAGGAGGATCATCACTAGCTCACAGCCAGCCTGGGCTACAAAAAAATAAATGAGCAAGGGGCCAGGGATTTATTTAGCTCAGCAGCCTAAGTGCCTGCCTGGCAAGCACAAGGTTGTGTGTTCGATCCCTGGTGCCAAAAACACAAAACAAAACCCAACAAACAAACAAAACCCAAACAACAACACTGGTGCTTAGCATTGGAGATGGGGCAGGCTGGCATTGGAGGCTGCTTTAACCTCTGCAGGAGTCGGGTTCCTATGCTAATAGCAAGTTGGTGGGGCGGGGAGGGGAGGAGAGGATAGAGTACAAAATAAATGGGTCCTATAAATACCAGCCTGAGCTCAGCCAGCAGGTTCTGAGGGGCCACCTCTGGGTTGGAACAGTCTTTCCTTAACCTTGGGAGGGGACTGGCTAAATTGGGCAGACACCGCATTTCTGCACTGTGCCGTGAGACAGGAAAGTTCACTGGTGCTCACAGGAATTCCTGTGCTCCCAAGCACATCCCCAGCCTGGAAAGTTACCGAGAAAGGCCAGGTCACAGACCAGCTCCTGCCAATGTCACTGTCGCTGTGCTTCCCTAAGCCAACCTTGTTTTTATGAGTGTGTTCTGCAAAAGTGAAATTTAAGCAAATTCACACCCTCACTGGGGTGTCTGTTTTTCTTTAAAGATTGGAAAAAAACAACAAAAAGCAAGCATCAACAACCATAAAGCCACAACGAGGAGTTGAACCTAAAGAGGGATCCGGTCCAGAAATCAAAATTTTTAAACCAAAAAATATTCCACCAGTGACATGATCTTCTGCTTTAAGGTCTTCACGTTAAATGATTTGAAAAAAATATTCCATTAAAATTTGCAGGGTGATGACTAATCTCCTGTGGGTGCCAGTTCATTAAATTATTTAGTGGCCACTATGGAAAAGTAAATGGCCTCATCCCTGAAAACTCCTGCTTTTTAAAGGGGTGACAAACAAGCAGCCGCCGCGACCGAGGAGAGTGTCCGGGAGCCCAGAGGGCGGCGGACTGGGCCGGGCCGGGGGTGGGGTGGGGGGTGCAGGGCGGGGCCGGGGAGCGCAGCGCCCCCGGGAGGGTCGGGGCGTCTCCGCGCAACCCGGACCCAGAGCCAGGCCGGAGGGCGGGTGACCGAAACCTCTGTCCCGCGCGGCCTTGGGTTCGCGCCCAGGGCGCCTCCCAGCTGCCCGGAGGACGCGGACCCCGCCGGGGGCCGGGCAGGGGGCGCCCCCCGGGCCGATGGCGCAGCTCTCCGGGCCCGGGGCGCCGAGCGCTCGCTAGGGGGCGACCCCCCGACCCGGGTCCCCCGGGACCTGCCCGGGTCCCCCCCCCCAATCCCCTTCCTCCGCGGGGGACACCGGACGCGCCCGAGCGCGCGGGACCCCGCCGCGGACGCGCCGCTCCCGGAGGCGGGGCTGAGCTCCTGGGGCGCCCCGGCCCCGACTTCTCTTTTGGGGGGAAGATGGCAGGGCCGGGGAACAAAGGAAGCTCGGTCCGGCCCCCAGAGCGGCGTGCGTGGCTCCCGCGCTCGCCCGGTCCCGGTGGGAGTCGCCCCGCGCCTGTGCGCGCCGCCCGTCCCGGGAACGGCAGCCGGTGCCCGCGGGGACCCGGGAGGGCGGGGAGGGGATGGGGTGGGGGTGAGGGCGGGGGTGGGGTGGGGTGGGGGCGGGGGTGGGGTGGGGTGGGGGCGGGGAGACGCGGGGAGGAGGGATCGCGGGTGGGCGGGCGGGAGGGCTGGCGGCGCGCGTCACGGCTATTGTGGCTGCCCGGGTATATAAGGTCCCGCCGGGCGCCGCGCTCCCCACCTCGCCCGCACCCGCCCAGCCACCGAGCTCCGAGCACCGGCCTCAGCGAGCCGCGCCGCGCGCCGACGGAGCGGACATGGGCAGCAGAGCGATGGTGGCCAGGTTGGGGCTGGGGCTGCTGCTCCTGGCGCTGCTCCTGCCCACGCAGGTGAGGCCCTGGAGACCTCGGGGTCGGGGCCGCGTCCCCGGGGGCGGGGGGTTCCCGGCTAGTGCCAGGCGCTGAGTTACAATGCCGAAGCAGAGGGGGCGAGCCATCGCCTCGGGGATAATTTTGCAAAACCGGCGGGGTGGCGGGGGGCGGCGAGGACCCCACTTCCCACTCCCGCGCGCACGGCTCCTCCTCTCCCACGCGGCGCCCTCGCGCACCCCGCAGGTCACACAAAGAGAGGGCTCGGTCCCCACGCGCGGAGCTGGTGTCGGGTCCCGAGGAAGCCGGGGTGAGCCTGTCCGCACCCGTCCTGGGGTGCGCGGGGCTGAAGCGTCGGTGGCGACCGCGTCCGGACGCTGCGCTCCGGGCAGCAGCCGTTTGCGCCCACCCCGGTCACATCGGAGCCCAGACGACCGGCCGCGGGGCGCGGTGCACGCTCTGTCCCGGTCCGCTCGGCTTTGTCCCGGTCCCCGCCACGGCCTCTCCCTTTTCACGTCCTCCGTCCCGAGAGCCGACCTCGCCCCCAGCCGGGCACCCAGTGTGGCCCTGCGCCCTGGAGTGTGCGGCGCCCTGGATGGGACCGGGGGCTGCGCCCCAGTCGGGATGGGGAAGGAGCAAGGCGCCGGGGCCGGGCGAGCTGGCGAGCCGGAGCAGCCGGGTGGCCTCCCACCGCCCCGGGCTGATTTTGCACCGCGTCCCCCCTTCCCGCCGGCCAGGTTGGGCTGCAGCGCCCCTGGTCCCCGGCCACCCCGCTTCCAGGCTCACCTGGGAGCGCAGCCCGGGTGTGGGCGCTGTCGGGCTTTCCCACAGCCGGCCGCGTAACTGTACCCTATTGTCTGGCTTCGGGTCGCCTGTACCCCCCCCCCAGCCTTTCTCGGTTCCCCTGTGGGGGAAGGGCGGGGCAGCTTGAAAGCGGACCGGTGTGTCTGTCACCCAGGTCCCATCGCCTTTCCGAGCGGACAGGGGCTGATTTCAAAGAAAGAGGGTTTAGTGAAGCTAGTTTACTAGCTTAATAGGGCTTTTGTTTTGTGTAATGTTTGCAATTTTAATTTATATCTTTTTTTTGTTTTGTTTTGGTGGTGTAAGGGACTCATAGATTCTCACATTGATGCCCTGGGCTCCTAAGAAAAAGTCACCTGCCATGCTGAAGCCCCTTGTGTGAATTATGAACAAGGGTCCCAAACCAGGTCGCCCCAAAGATGCCCTGTTTTAAGTAATTTGCCATGGTAAAGCTCGCCTTTTAGCGGGAGTGCTGTTTCTTAATTGGATGGGATCTGCCTTACAGTCCATGTCCAATAAATGGACTGGACCTGATGGAGAATTTTGTTGCGGTTGTACTTCTGCAGTCGGTATTTGCTTAATGGCCTTCTGGGTTGTACAACAAAAGGCACTGGTGCTGACATAGGCGGGCTTTATTTTGGATTAATAGCCGAGTGTACGTGTGGCCCAGACTTGCTGGGTGCCACGTCCCCTCCCCTCTGTAATTGGAAGCCCTTGTAAACCCTGCCTTGCAGTGCGAGCTGAAAACTCCGGTCTGCCTTTGTTCCATGACAAAGGCGAGATTATCACGTGCCCCACTGGACTGTGCATTTGTAGCTCGAAAAATCAGTGGTGAATGATGCCACTCGGATGCCGGGACACTAAGAAATCCTTGATTCTTGGCCACAGCGCTGAGCTAGTGACCAGGCAGGAGCCTGCCGCTGCTGAAATTTAACTCCAAACCCTCCCGGTGTCTTTATGTGAAGTCACTCTGAATAGATGGTGCTTTGAGTGAAGTCATTTTGCCTCAAAGCAAGAACTCATTATGTCTTTCAATTTAAAACAAATATTGTGACCATTTTGAGAACAGTTCTAATTTCAAGATTTTAAAGAAGCAGATAAGATACTCAATGACCCCCCTTAAAGGCAAAGGTAAGTTACCCGGGCTGAATGAAACGGGAAGCCTATGGGAGAGACAGGAACCAATTATTTCTGGTACCATAAACCTCAATTGTAATTTGTAACATAACTTTAAAATGACCCTCTTTCTAGGAAAATTGAGGCCACATTATAGCAGTAAACCCATATCATCTCAGAAACAGGATTAGTGAACCTGGCTCTTAATTCCTTTGTATAGGATTAAAGGAGCCATACTCTTGGGAGTTAAAGTTACCAAAAAAGTTTTTATTTTAATTCTTGGTGCTGCTTGCATTTTTAGACTATGTAGGCAGTTAGTTTTTAAACTAAAGAGAATAACCTTGGTGGGACTGAGCAGGAATTCGGAATTTAATGATGTGGATGAAAGAACAATGGGGGAAAAAAGCAATCCCACAAATACACCAAGGACCTGGGTGTAGCAAGATAGAGCATGTGGTTAGCAGGTATGAGGCTGCGTTCAGTTCCTAGCACTGCAAAAATGAATGAATAGATAAATAAATGTGTGCCTTTATCGTTGAGCGTTTGTAGAGCTAGCTATGACGTCTGTAGAAATTTATCAGAGTAACTTTTTATGTATTTTAGATTTATTCAAACCAAACCACTGCTGTGTCATCTTCAAATAGCACCACCCAGACCACCTCTGCTGTCCCAAATCCAACCAATGCCACCACCAAGGCAGGCAGCGGTGCCCTGCAGTCAACGGCCAGTTTCCTTGTGGTTTCAATCTCTCTTCTACATCTGTACTGTTAGAGACTCTGACCAAGAAGCGTCTCTACTTCCCCATCTTCCAAACCCAGCCCAAACAGCGACTACAAGTCCAGTGTGGCGAAGAAGAAATCTAATTCCACACCGTTATTTGATTGATGCAGAAAATGTTGAGAATTCCAAATTTGATTCATTTCAAGGACGTGTGAAGGGACTGACAGATGATGGATGCCAATATTAAATCTGCTGGATATTTTTTTGGGGTACAAGATGAAGAGAGAATATCCAAGATTGACCATGATTTCCTCGATGATCGCTTAACAAATATGGACACTTAAAACTCTTCCTGGAAAACGAGAGTAGATTTTATCTAGAAATAAAAGATGGGATGTGAAATGGAGATTCAGTTTTCATTTGGTTCTTTAAATCTATAAGGCCATAAAACAGATAATATAAAAAGCTTCCATATGCTATTTATATGTACATTAGAAAGAACTACCAAGTGTTACTGTAACTCCTTGATGCGTCATGTCAGCAGTACTAATTTAATGCTGATATCTCTAGCTAGTTTCACATTGTTAAGCTCCACTGTTTTCTTGGGAACTGAAGTCTTTTTTTTCTCTGCCCTCTGTGACTTCAGATTTGACAAGGTAATGACCTTTGGCTTTTTATGTAGTAATTGACATGTACCCGGGCCATGGTGGCCTGGAACCCACCCCCAAATCTAAACATTGTGAGTCAGTATTTCCAAAGTGAAGTAGTAGGCATCCCCCTCCCCGCCCATCTTCATTCAACAAAAGCACCAGACTCATGTAGCTAAACTGATTCCAAAGAGTAGAATTCTATTGACCTCAAATGATTTTAAAATACTGCTTTTTAAATTTCTGTATATGTTGAATACACAATTAAAAATACAGTCTGTTTTGAAGATAAAATTACAGATCTTGAAATTAGAAGGGCAAACATGCAAAGGAGCCAAAACTAAATCAAGCATTTGGGAAGCGAAGCCTAGAACCTGCATTAGATTTGCAAAAACTTTTATACTTTTTCTGTAAATACTTTTTTTTAAAAACTATGGATCACAATAGCCACATTTGGAACATGTTCTGTTAGCAGTCAATATTTTTAGGTAGTTAGAACTGATCCTAAGCTTTGATTTTTGCTGTCTTTTACAACTGCCTTGATATACAGAAACCTAAAAAAAAAAAAAAAAAAAAGACACACCCTGAGCTCTGTTCGCATGGTCACACACTGATGCTTGCGTGTTCCAGTATCTAATACGACCGCAGTAGTCTTGATGCAACCCGAGGCTTTTCTTTCCCATCTTTAGAAACCTACATGGGAACAGCCAGATCGAATAGATCTGAAGCTACTGTGTGTGTGAATGAACACCCCCTCTTGCTTCATCTCTGAATGCTGCGCATCTGTTTGGATTGTATATTGTGTTTGTGTATTTATGCTTTGATTCATAGTAACGCCTCATGTTATGGAATTGATTTGCATTGAACACAAACTGTAAATAAAGAAATAAATGGCTGGAAGAGCACCCTGTTGAATTTGCAGTTTTTCTGGTTACCAGGAATTCTCTTTAGTGATGATGGTTCTATATCTGTTCATTTAAGCCATTAGGGATACACCTCACTATTTCCCTATTAAGAAAATGACAGTTGATGACAGTTGGTCTATTTCTGCCTTGCTAACTAGCAGCAGGTTTTGACCAAAATATGTTCTCCAAAGTTGGCTTCTTTAAGACAGTGCCTCATTTAATAACTCTTTGTTGTATGCCGGTGACATGCCAGGATACTGACAATTGAATGCTGAACTACAGGACAAAGTCTCTTAGTTGAGAAAGTATGTGATGATGAGTAATCCCTGAAGTGTCATATAATTCCCGCAAGGAAAACACCAGGGTGCTACGAGTTGTGGCCCATGGTTCGAGAGAATGAATGGTTTTAGGCATGGGAGCAGACATCTGAAATACAGAACAGTTTTGAGATCAGAGGACTCAGGCATGGTGGCGCACACCTGTAATCCCAGCGTCTGGTAGGCTGAGACAGGAGGATCTCTGCAAGTTCAATGCCAGCCTGAACTACATACTAAGACCCTGTTGCAAGAACAAACAAAGGATCAGAGAATACTGGGAAGAATGGCAGGTGCCAAGTCCCCAGGTCAGAACCGCTTTTTCTGTTCCCACCCTGAGATCCACAAATCACATTTGCTCCTAAATCATCTGTTCCTTTCACACCCCTGAGTTCTAACACATCTGGTGGTTCAGGGACTCCCAGGATCTTTGCTGCGGTCTGCAGCCCCCAGGAACCGTGGCACCTCGGGTGTCCGGTGGAATTCTTTCCCAAGGAACCTCAGCTGTGCTGCTAAGGATTTTCAGTTGACGGAGCTAGACCCATCTAGATTGTCCAGAACAACCTCCTGGCGTTAATCCTACCTGCAAAACACTTCACGGCAACATGAAGTACTAGGTTAGTGTTTGGTTTAGTAACTGAGGACTTACTACGCTGACATACGACCTGACTGTCATGGTCTACACTGTGTCAGTTTGACACTGGCATCTCTCTCATACTTGCATGTGCTAGGCAAGTGCTCTGCCACTTACTACATTCTCAGTCCTTTTTAAAAATTTTATTTGAAAAGATGGACACGGTGGCACACGCCTGGAGTCCTAGCACTCAGGAGGCTGAGGCAGGAGGATCGCTGTGAGTTCAAATCCAACCTTGGCTACATAGTGAGTTCAAGGCCAGCTTGGGCTACATAGTGAGAGCCTGTCTCAAAAAACAGCCCATCCCTCCAAAAAGACCAAAAAATTTTATTTGAGACAGAGTCTTACTAAGTTGCCTTAGCTGGCCTCAAAGTTGGGATTTTTCTGCCTTATTTTCCTGGTAGCTAGGATTGCAGGTGTGTGCCATTGACCCGGCTTTCCGGGTAAAGACAACAAGATCATACTTCTTCCTAATATGATAGGATTATATTTCACCCAATCAAAACCACTTTCCCGCAGAAGAGAACGCGGAATCTTTAGGATGCGTTCACTAGTTTTCACATCCTGCAGCTCGTGATGTTAAGTTAACCATAATTACACATTATCAATATATCTTAGTTTAGATGCTCAGAAATAAGAGGGAAGAAAGCATAAATTCTGGATTCTAAGCCAGTCATGGGGCTGGCCCTGGTATTTACAACCTGCCATTACAAATCCCAGATTTCCTTTGCTGTCAGTAAGCATCTTACTGGGTCATCCCTGAGACGGGCAGGGTCATCCAAACCTTTTCCTGAATTTTGTTGTAGTCTTTTACCAATTTGAGTGGCAGATGTGGTTGTAGTAACACTCAGCCTCCGTTATTTAGTAACAACTCACCTTTCACTGGTGGTCAAGATTAAAAATTCCACAAACACAGTATGGTAACTCCTTTCTTCGTCCTGTGATGCTGAGGCCGGGAAGCCCCAGCGGCTGGGTGGCAACCTCAGCTTCTAGTTTGAGGGGATCAAGAAGGAAATATTCTTTCTGTGGTACAGACCTCTAGACAAACGGGACATAACATCTCCAATGGACACAAAAGTTTCACTAGTGACCAGTGCCACCTCCATTTTCTGTTGGTTCCTGGACCAGCTACTGGGGAGATGGCACCATAGTTAGAAATGCCCTGCCCTAGTCCTCCGGGGATTGATCCTAGCTGGTGCTCCTTGAGGTGTCTTTTGTTTGTTTTGGTTTTGTCTTTTTTTTTTTTATCACTACCGGGGATCGAGCTCGTGACCATGTGCTTGCAAGGCAGGCGCTTATGCCACTGAGCTAAATCCCCGCTTGTTTTGTCTTTTTGAGATGGGATCTTGCTGTGCAGCCCAGGCTGGCCTCGAACTCACTGCTGTTCTCTTGCCTCAGACTCCCGAGTGCTGGGATTACAGGTGTGTGCCACCATGCCTGACGCCTCTCCTCTCACGCCAGTGGCTCCAGGATTATTGGGAACATGGCAACTCAGCGGCCACAGGCTCACTGTCACATCACTGGCTGTGAAGTGAACTCCTGGTCAGATGCAATGCTGAGCATGTGGTTTGTTATGCTACTAAAGGGTGGTAGTTTTGGCCAAAGCATTGCATGCAGGGAAGGCAGACTGCACAATAAGAACAAAATGCTGCCCTTTACACAGCGGAGGTGATTCGATGTAATTAGCATCTCCCCTGATGACCGCTCCGTGGAATGGCGCCTTTTAGGGTGTTGCTTTTGTGCTATAGTGCTTGGTAGTGGCTGTAAGAGTTGGTGAATGTAGGTAAATGTAGGTCCATGTTGCTGGGCCTCTGCACCGTGACCACTTTGTTTATGCACCTGTTAGAGATGGGGAGACTGGAGAAAGGTTAGCTGTACTCCTCAAAACGAGTTATCCTGCCTACTTGAATACTAAAATTCTTCCCTACTGCGCTCATCTTTTGGTGAGCATTCACACGGGGTACAAATATCACATTCTTTGTCTACATCCTTGTCCTCCTCCTCCTCTCCCTCCCTCCTCCTCCTCCTCCTTTTTTTTTTTTTTGTCTTTTTCATTTTTATCGGTACCGGGGATCGAACTCACAACCGCCTGCTTGCAAGGCAGGTGCTTATGCCGCTGAGCTATATCCCCAGCCTCTTTTTTTCTTTTTGAGACAGAATCTTGCTGTGCATTTCAGGCCTGACTTGAGCTCACTTTGTAGTCCAGGCTGGTCTTGAACTCACAATGATCCTCCTGCCTCAGCCTCCTGAGTGATGTGATGATAGGCATATGCCACCACACCCAGCTGGTGTCCAAATCCTTCTAGCCATATATCTCTTCCCTGGACCTTCTTGTCGTTAACTTCCTTATCGTGTTTCTCCCGAGTCCGTCTAGCCAAATCATCAGCCATAGCCCATGAACCAACACACACTCATACCTGCTGCCTTGAGCCTCCCAAAGCAAAATGAATGGCCAGACCCACATTTTATAATTCCGTGGTTTGTGATTCTGCCCACTGGCCAATTTCTTTCACCACCGTTCTTTCGAGAAGATTCGGAAGGATTTGTAGAGTGCCAGTACCTACTATTGAGTAGTGCCCAACATTGTGTAGAACCTTCTAGAAACCTTTTTATTTTTTGTACTGGGGATCGAGCTCATGACCTCGCACCTGCCAGGCAGGTGCATGTGCCACTGAGCTAAATCCCCAGCTATAAACCTTCTTATAAAAGGCCTAAGTTTTCTCTTTTTCAGTTAGTGTCAAGAAATTCCATGAGACCATAGGTACAAGCTGCCAAAGGGAAGGCCATAGCACTGGAGCAGGGGCTGTGGCATCTGGCTTCTTCCTCACGGGTCTGTAGAGCCTGCCCAAGCTCACAAGTACCATTTTCATTTAACAATGGAGCAGGGCCATGCACAGCCAATTTATGGCCTGGTGATCAGATATCATCCAGGTCCTGATGGACAGTGAGGGTTACATGGTGGCCCACAATCAAAAGTTCACTCTCAGGTGAGGTGCAGTAACAAGCCAAAAACAATTTCTAAAAAACATTGTGATCTGTAGAGGACAGTAGGAATCTGCTTTGAAATCCCAAACCTAGTGGCCAGAGATTTAGCTCCGTGGCCCAAGCGGCTGCCTGGCCAGTGCAAGGTCATGAGCTTGATCCTTGGTACCAAGAAAACAAAAAACTTAACTCTTTATCTAAGGTAAAATTACAGAAAAGCAACAACAAAATTGGAGTGTATTTTTTAAAATCAGTGCTCACAGAGGAGGAGATACTTTCTAAATTTTTTTTGTCTTTTCCTTTTTTATAGGTACCGGGGATCAAACTCATGACCACACACTTGCAAGGCAGGCGCTTATGCCACTGAGCTAAATCCCCAGCCCCGGAGATACTTTTTTGACTTTGAAAATTATCCTAAAGTTTCGGGGATGTGTTATTTATCAGAAAAAGCCCACTTCAAGGTTATCCTTTGCGGAGCCTCACTTAATTATTAGTCATATAATTTGAGGCTGCATTAAGCAATGAATAATCATTGTGAGACTAACCCCACCTAAATTTAGTCTTAGTAGATAAAAGCAAACAGTGTAGAGAAAGGACATTAGTTGAAGCTCTGTACCATAAAGTTAAAATGAGAAAAAAAAAAGCCTATTTAGAACTAAACATATTCTAAACGCACACACACACCCAAACGCCACCACTGTCCTTAAAATAGGATTCAAATATTGAGGTAGTTGAAAAGTATGTTTTTTTTTTTTTCATTTTTTCTAGACCTCACTTGAGGTTAGCTTGGTTATTTTTGGATACCTTATTCAGTATAAAGAAAGCATTTCTTCCCCCTTAATTTTTGTAGGATGATACTTTTTGGAACAACAAAATCACCCTCCTGGGTTGCTTCTCTTTAAATTGCATGTAAATTCTAAAATCAATGCATTTTTAAGAAACGTTAGGAAGTTTTCATATTTATGACTTTGCAGCAAAATGTCTCGGGGGCCTACAGTGTCTGAGGCGGTTTAGCTGTCAGCCTCGGAGCAGCAGCAGAGAGGAAGCTTTGTGGGGGCAGCACGTCAGTCCCTTTCCTCTGCAGACCTCAGCCCGCTGGATGCCGAGCCTCTCTCATTGAGAGCAGGGGCCGCTTTCCGCTGCTCCCCCGGACCCCAGTCAGCCAGGAAGTCCTCTTTCCCGGGCTGAGGTGTCCGCGTGCTTCTCTGTCCGCGCTACAACCTCCCACCACTTGTGTCATTTCTCAGAGCTGCACCTGTCTGTCCTTCTCTCCTTGTGCTTTCTGTCACTTTCGTCATCTAAAATGGAGATCTGCTCATTTGGCTCTCGGTTTAAAACTTTGGCTGGCTGTGCTTTGTCTGCTAGGGTGAAATGAGAAACCTCCACTCAAGAGGCATAAGACCTTTAACAATCTGGTCCCAAGCAAGTTTTCAGCCCGTCCCTGGGTTACTGGATTACTCTGTGACTTTTGTTTTTTTGCTTTTTATCGGTACCAGGGATCGAACTCACGACTGCCTGCTTGCAAGGCAGGTGCTTATACCGCTGAGCTAAATCCCCAGCCCCCTACTCTGTGACTTTTTAATATGTCCTCCATCAACTAAGCGTAGCAGTGATAAGTGTGGGTGTCAAAACCAATGTGCTTAGTTGGATTCCCAGCCTGGCTACAGCTACAGGCTCCTAGGCAATGACAGGAGTTCTCTGAGAGCCTGGAGTCTTGTGTGTAAAAGAAGCTTGATAATAATGGGACCTATTGCATAAGGTGGCCGAATCAAATGAGTTGATGCACAGAGCCTTAGAACAGAAATTGGCCCATTGCAAGTACCTAATAAACACTGACCAACATTATTTTCTCTTATGATATAAAAATGCCTTGACCCGTCTCTGAGCTTCTGGAAGGGAGGAACTGTGTCCAAATTATTTCTGGGTTCCTGTTGTGTGTGACAGAGTAGATGCTCAGTTAACATTGAGTAAGTAAAATAAACAGCAGTAATGCTTTAGTTCTGCAGAGTACTGGGGGAAGCTCAGAGCCTGTTACCATATTAGGTCTTGGGGGGAAGTCTGAGGGGGTGGTTGGGACTATTTCTAAACAGGCTGTGCAGTTCTCGTTAGATAGGCAGCTTCCTTATCTATCTGTAGCAATGGTGCTCAACTCCAAAGGCATTATAGACTTACCTGGGAACTGTTTTAAAAATAGGGATATCTGGACTTCTATAACTGGTCTGAGTAGAGCTCAGCCATCAGTCATTTTTTAAAGCTCCCGAGTTGATAAAGTTCATCCAAGTGCAGAGAAGTCTCTGAGAGCAAAGCCTCAGGCCAACCAGCTGCAGGGGCTGCTGCATTCAGATGTGGCCACCAGTCTTGATTTCAAATCCTTGTTCCTAGCGGAAGTGCTCACATCGAGGCATCCATGGATGTCAGTACGGTCACTTTCCACCAGGCCACTGTTTGGATTTCTATCCAACCAAAACAGGCATGGACCGGCTTCTGCTCCGTGCCAGGGAGTGTCCCTCCAGCGTGCATGGGGACCCAGTGTCCCTCCCCACCCAGCTCCCGAAAGGCCACCCTCCCTTTCACTGGTGAATAAATACTCAGCTTATACAGATGGAGCCCGCAACTTCAGCAGAAAGATGAACAAAATGCTACTGCAGGTTGGAAAGTGTGGACGCTACCACCATAGGGTTGGTTTGGACGAACGCATGGAGTTTTGTGCTGGAGCTGCCTGTGGCTGGGGCCAAAGACACCGCTGTCAGCAAATCCTTTGGGGGACTTTCCAGCTTTAAAAATGCTACCATCTTGTTCCACTTTAATAATTCCATGATTGGGACTGTTGGTTTCTTTTTATAGGCCTTTGTGAGTTTGTTCTCCTACCCATTAGGAAGTGGACTCAGGGCTCCCAAACTGAACCCATAAAAACTGATGCGAAGTCACTTCTGCTGTTCTGGGAGATACTGAGCATTCGCCACATTTGTTCATTCCGTGCTGGGTGATCATTTTTGCCCTGCTGTATTTTAGGAGGATTTGGGATAAGTTTCGTTTAGTGATAGATGCTCAAGCCAGCAGTTGACTACCTGGTTCCTGATGTCCACCTTCAATGAGGTAGTAGTCATTTCCTGCTGGTTTGTCAGGCTTATGAAACACAATCCGTGGCTCAATCCTTGTTGAGACACCAACGTGAATGCAATCAGGAAACAGGGTTTCCCTGTGTAACCTATTTGCCTGTATTCTGCTTTTCATCTGCTTATTACAGGTGAGTAATATGCTTAGGAGAAGAAGCGTTTGGGGTATTTTGAAATATTTGCATATACATGAAGCATGGAACCCAAGTGTAGCCATGGAACTCACAGCTGGCTTGGTGGCACACCCTGTAGTCTCAGCACTCTGGGAAGCTGAGGCATGAGGGTTGCTTTTGTTTTGTACCAGGAATCGAACTCTGGACCTTGCGCTTGCCAGGCAAGCACTGTGCTGTTGAGCTATATCCCTGGCCTGTGTTTGAAACTTTGAGCTCAGCCTGGGAAATGTAGTGACACAGGGAGACCCTGTCTCAAAAAAAAGGAAAAAGAGCTGGGGATGTAGATCAGTGCAAAGGCCCTGGGTTCAATCCCTACTATCACAGACACATGAAATTAATATGTTTTCATATATATTTTATAGTCACAATCTAAGGTAATTTTATACATGTTTAGTGTGGCTGCCTTTTGACTGTGACCTGTCATGTGATGTCAGTTGCTGGGATTTAGCTCAGTGGGAGGTCATGAGTTTGATACCTGGTACAAAAAACAAACAAAAACCCACAAAAAATGCCCCCCCCCAAAAAAAAACAAGCAGTTTGAAGCACTTCAGATTTCAGGGTTTTAAATTAGATATTGCTTTTTTATTGGTTTTGTGTCTCATTCTAAAAATTTTTTTGCGTCAACTTATAGGTATATGCAGTAAATCACAGGGTAGGTTACAAATAGGTGAGGAATTTGAGTTAAAAGCCAAATAAAGGGAGAAAAACTTACAACAGGCTTCAAGGACGTTGGTCAGGCATCCTGAGGAGCTACCACAGCCAATGAGATGAAGGGGCCGTGGCTGGACACTGAAGCGAAGCCATCATGCATTTAAATACATAATTAAACCACCGATCTGAATCCAGGTGAAGGGCTTCCAGGTGGAGCATGCTCAGTGTGGTGCACGCCCTGCGGTGGTACACTGGCAAGTTTCTCACGTTCATTTCTTACAATTTTCAGGGCTGGGGATTTAGCTTAGTGGCATAAGCGCCTGCCTTGCAAGCAGGCAGTTGTGAGTTTGATCCCTGGTACCGATAAAAAGGAAAAAGACAAAAAAAAAAAAAAAAAAATCACATTTCTTACAATTTTCATCAAGACAAGTAAATGGCAAGTAATAATTTAGCCAGCAGCTAAAGTAACACTGCCAACCAAAAACACAGCTTTATACTTGAATGCTTACAGGCAAATGACTCCTGAATATCTAGAGAAATAGATGAACAACATCCTGCTGCTTGTGTGTGCACGTGTATGTGTACGCATGTGTATGTGTGTCACTGAGAAGTGAACACAGGGCCTTTGCACTGAGCTACATTGTCAGACTTTTTAGTTTTTATTTTGGAGCAGAAGTTGCTAAGTTGCACAGGCTGGGCTCAATCTTTTGAGCCTCCTGCCTCAGTTTCCCAGAGCATTGGTATTACAGGCGTGCTCCACCACGCCTAGCTAAATGAGTCTTTTCTTTTGAACAGCTTTTTGATAAAGACTGAACGGAAAATAATAGTGGCCAGTCCCTGTTCCTGATACTTTGACATCTGTTTACTCCTGTAATCCTTGCAACATGTTTGTGTGGTCAGTGCTGTGACATAATGACAAGGCTTTCCCCGAGGAGGAACCTGAAATAGTCAAGCTGTTAGGTGGTTTGCACGGGGTCACCCCAGGGTGAGCACACATGGTGGGGTCCTAGCTCAGGTGACTGCCCTAGAATTGCCTCTGTGAGGGTTCAGAGTTACCTCTGACGGGATCAGCGGAAATAGCTCTTCTGTTTGCTGTTAGGCACCAAGGCACGCACTTAATCAAGCCCAGGGAAACCTGACATCATGTTGTGAAAATAAACCAGCCTGAATGTGGCAGAACAGGGATGGTGCAGTGGTGAGCAGGTGGCACTTGTGGGTTGGCCTTGGGCTGGTCTCTGACAACAATTTCAGACCTTCTGCATGTGGTGAGATGGGTCATACAGCCAGGAAGTCCTATGGTTTTTGGACCGGACATGCAGGGACCCAGTCAGGTGTGAGGGGACGGTGGGAAGGAGAGAGCTTTGCACACCGCTTAGACAAGCCCTCCTGACCACTCCGGTTGTGTGCTTCCCTTGAGATCCGTTCCCTTTGGGGTTTATATGTCACTTGTAATTAGGCAAGGATTTCCATGGTAAACAAGTTGAACATTATCGTTTGGACACAATGATACTTCCTTCTGAGTATGTAATCAATAGGCATTCATTGCTAAAAAATATTAAAGGAAGTGCTAAGAGAAAATTGTAAGTCACCTGTAATTGTACTGTCTGGTGACAACAGTTTGAATGTTTATCTTCATACTCCTAGTGTGTTTTTCACTATGCATTTTTTTAAATTGCACATTACTCTTTTATTATGTTGATCTGGAAAAAGGCCAACTACAGTCATGCTCAAAATGAATACTGAGCCAACTGGAACACAATTCAGAAATCAGACGTCGTGAAAGACGCAGACACGGTCAAGAGGCATTTTCACTGGTTCCAAAAAGGGCAGAGGGACCCTAAGAGGCACCGCAGGGTGCACGCTACCCACCGCGGCCGCAGAGCTTGTCCTGTGCCTGTGTGAGGAAGGACTCGTTTCTGGTGACCACACGTGGAACTATTCAGTCACCACTAGAAATCCCAGCAGGGTTTTTGTTTGGTTGCATCTTTTTTTTTGTAGAAATATTTAACACCTAGACTTAATTCAGCCTTCTGGAGCCAGCTCTCCTAGGGTGAGGGAGGAAATTACTGTTTTCATTCATCTCCCCCTGGAGTGCTCGCTGCCAGAGACCTAACTACAGAAGAGTGCAGGGCGCAGAGCACTCTGCTCAGGCCTTGGCATCCGTTCTCTCTGTCCTCTACTCAAGCAGGACCCTAGCAAACAAAGCAAAAACACCGGGAAAAAACAGTTACTGCCTCTCACCTGATTCTGCCCGGAGTCTATCAAAATCACAGCATTTTGAGTCTATCAAAATCACAGCAGCCAAAATGCTAAAATGAAGAGCCGCTGCAAATACCACACACAAACCCACAGACGGGGCAGTGTGACAGGCGCGGGAGGGGTGCGGAGGAAGGCGTGGACAGTGCTGTCTGCTGGCCTTCACTCCTTGGCCCTGCCCGGGCAGCCACAGCTTCCACGGCTGTGCGCACGGTCTCTCCATCTGCTAGGACGTGTGTGGATTTGGGCTTTGAGTTCTGATCCCACCCCAAGACAATGGGAATACCGGTTGAAAGGTTCAGCTCTATGATGGCTTCTTCAGAGAGACCTTCCAAGTGCTTGACTGTACCCCCTGAAGGCTGTTGCTGTCTCCCCTTTTTGATCTGGGGAACGCTTTCTTCATTCCAGTTCAGGTTGGCCTTGAACTTGCAGCGATCTTCCTGCCTCAGCCTCCTAAGTGCACGGATTAGATGTGAACCATCACAACTGGCCAGATAGTTTACTTGAAAGAGTAGACACAAAGAGTGAGGGAGAAACTGGGTCTGCAGAGGGAGCTTGGCTGCAGTAAAAGAGGAGGAAGCAATGTAAAGGTTGTGGTGCCTCCTCCGCACCCCACTCCAGATCCTCCTTTTAGGATTCAGAAACTCATTTCCCCACTTGGAAGGGCTGCTCGCCCTGACGTTCCTATTTAGGGCTGGCCTCTGCTGAAATTGCACTAATCTGCGTGACAGTCCAGGTGGAGGTGCACAGGCCCAGCCTCCTGCCTCGACTGCACACTGAGGGCTGTCCCAGCTCTAGCTCTGGTGCTAGGTGAGCTGTGGCTGGCTGGGCTGGCCTCCCAGCCCAGGGTCTGCTTCCGCCCAGCCCTGCTTTGCCCAGGCCCTCGCAGGTGCAGGTCACAGGGCGTTCCCAGTAAACATCCTGCAACCAAATGTCGGTCTCAGCATCTGCTTCCCTGGAACCTGACCTAAGACAAGTTGTTCTGGATGTTGTTTTTATATAACTTTAATAGTTTAAGGATCACAGGACTGGATGCGAGGAGCGTAAGATGAGGGTGGAGTTTGGCCAGGAGCAGACCACAAAAGACCGGGTGAGCTGATAATATAGTGTACACCAGGCATGGCAGGCGGCAGATGACACATCCAGTTGGGTAATTTGGGAAAGTTTAACAACCAGTCTCTTTGCAGGTGAGATGGGGTTTAATGAGGGTGAGAGGGATGAGCTCTGTCCTGGGGCAAGTGCCAGCAGAGTCACCAACCACCACAGCTTGAAGGCACAGGGAAGCAGCAGTTACTGGAGTGCAGCTGGCCACGTGGGGGGAGAGTGTCCTCAGGCACTGTGTCCTTCCGAAGAGGGGTGTGGCCAGGCCGAGGTGACCTGGCAGGCAGGCAGGCTCAGCATGTAGGGAGCACCCCAGCTCGGTTTTCCTTTCCTTTCTTGGTCCCAAGCTCCTTCTGGTGCTTCGTGTTTGCTGCACCCTCCTGAAAGCTAACACTTGGGGGGCCCTTGAGCTTCCACACAGGTGGGCTTCCAGGGACCCCGCAGACAGAGGAAGCCATGTAAACTGTGGACAGAGATCTCCAGCTCAAACTGCCACAGGGCAGCTGGCCTAGTGTCGGTCCTGTTCCGGGAGACCTAAATTGGGTTCTTTGTTCACATGTTGAAATCCTAAATTCCAGGCTTCCATGGGACTGTCCGAAGATGGAACCTTTAAACAGATAATATAGGTAACGGAAAGTCATCCGGGTGGACCTAATCCCAGCTAATTTTAAGCATAGGGCATTAGGACCCAGATAACAGAAACCAAGTGACACAAGAATGTGGTCATCTACAAGAGGTCTCAGGAAAACCAAACCAAACCAAACCAAACAAAAACACGTTTGCTGACATCTAACTTTGGACTTCTAGTCTTCAGAATTTTGGGAAAATCCGTGTATTGTTTAAATCCCCTAATCTGTGGTATTTTGTTAAGATCGCTCTAGCAAGCTAATATAAATGGGGAGTCCTTGAAAGGTTAGGGGTGGGCTGACATGATCAGATCTGCATTTTGG